CTGGCAAAGTGTATTGCTTCAACCAGCACCAGGTGTTCACTGAGGGATTGAGCTCCCCCTGTTTCTCATGGCCACCCATCACGTGTTAACAATCTCTGTTCCTTGTAACTGCCAGGTCCAGTACTCCTATTCCTGTGATACAACTCTGGTTCTGTACCTTGAAGAGTGACCCCCAAGACTTGAGACCATGACTATTCCCATGGGACCCAAGGACTCCTGTATTGTCCCAAGAAATGCCAACCATGAGAATAACTCAAGACCTAAAAATGATTATGTCATGGTCCAGCCCACTTGTGGTTTTTATGCATATAAGACTTGTCTTTGGTCCAGCATGATAAGCCCTCCTTCTTGGGGCTTCTGCCTGCAGGTGTCTCTTCCTTACTCTCTTCACTGCTGATTTCTGCCAACTAGCTTTCCTTTACTGCCCTAGAACAATAAAGCCATTAATCTTGCCAATTGCTTTTTAAAACTTTTATAAGATTTAATCCTTATTTTTTCCTTAAAACAAATTCTACAGAGTGGTACCTCAAAGCTGAATGAGATATGTATGGCACTCTAACACAATTAAACTCAGAGACTTCTCAAGGAAGCAAAAATTACGCTTTATTACAATCTCGCGAGAAGGGGCGTCTACTCCTCCAGCACACTACCAGCAAGAGAGAGGCAAGGCACAAAGGACAAAGCAAGGTTATATATCTTAACGCGAACAAGAAACTCCCACCCCGCCACTATTCCTTACTCCCATTGGCTGGGAGGCAGGCTTACATTCTAGGCACGAAAATCTTTCCCATTCCCAAAGAACAAGGAAACAGGGTATAGCCAATCCAAACATACATATCCTTATTTAGTATACCTAATGCTGACATGGCAGTGGCAATCAGGAGAGGGTTTAGGGCTGAAATAAACTTATGGCCTGTTGTTTCTCTCAGAGCCTATCTCTAGTTTCGAGACAGTCTTTTCATCACCACCCTGAGAAGTCTTTGAAAACTAGAGATAGGCTCTGAGAGAATGAACAGGGTATAAGTTTAAATTACCTAAACCTATAGGAATTTGGCCCTAAAAACTCCCTCCTGATTGCCACTGCCACATCAGCATTAGGTATACTATATAAGGACATGTATGTTTGGATAGGCTATACCCTGTTTCCTTGTTCTTTGGGAATGGGAAAGATTTTTGCGCCTAAAATGTAAGCCCGCCTACCAGCTAATAGGAATGGGAAAGATTTTTGCCCCTACAATGTAAGCCTGCCTCCCAGCCAATGGGAGTAAGGGATAGTGGAGGGGTGGGAGTTTCTTGTTTGCATTAAGACATGTAACCTTGCTTTGTCCTTTGTGCCTCGCCTCTCTCCTGCTGGTAGTATACTGGAGGAGTAGACACCCCTTCTCTCGAGATTGTAATAAAGAGTAACTTTTTGCTTCCACCTTGAGAAGTCTCTGAATTTAATTGTGTTAGAGTCACTGTACCACACAAAGCTTACTAAGATGTTTCAGAAGGAAGTGAGTTCCTGTAACTAGCCCAAAGTCTGAGGAGTTCTCTCCTGCAGTCTTAAAATGACTAATTGTCAAGCTCCTTAATGATTAATCTCAAAACCTCCAGAATCCTTAAGATGTTTTTAGTGATTCTACAACTTTAATTATCTAACTATATTTCTGTGATTCCAATATGGCCGGTATTGTAATGATAAAAAAAAGTGTTTTACAGGCTTTTCCTCTTTTCTTATAATCTAATCTCCCTTGGAAAGCCTAAGGTGGGAGTTAGTCCTGCTTTCTGGGGCAACTGCTTCATCTATGAAATCTTCTCAGTATTCTCTCTAGCTACAATCTTTAGAAGTTTTTCTGTCTGGTTCCATCTTAAATCTTTCAAGGTAATAGAATCTAGCTCATAGCACAAACATGACAGATATTCTGCATCTTACAAAGACACAAAGATACAGACAAAAACAAACAACAAAGTGTGCGATTAAAACACCAATTTCAACCAGTTCCAGAGGCACACAAACCAGAGGCATAAGTGATTACAAAACCCAAAGGTACTCAATTAAGCCAATTAACCAATGTGCAAAAAATGGGCCTTACCAGAATGATCCAAGATGAACCAGGTCCAGAAAGAGGGGTCCTGGAGTTTTGTTCACAAAGAAAGGCAAGCTCAATCAAAGGCTGAGCTGCAATTGGAGCAGGAACAAAGGACAGAGGACTCACCAGATGAGAGGAGTCAGACTCTGGAGAAATAAATCTCCAGTGAGTCTAGTCCACTCCCATTGGTACCAGAAAGTCCATTTCTCCATGTCCAGTCCCATTTCTGACACCAGTTAATGTCATCTGGACTGGAACCAGCCTCTAACCTGTGGGTGGCCAGGGCCAAAACAGAGCAGGCTAGAGACAGGTGTGTCAGGACACAAACAGGAGGACCAAAGGCAAGTCTTACATACACAAAAACCACAAGTGGGCTGGACCATGACACAATCATTTTTAGGTCTTGAGTTATTCTCATGGTTGGCATTTCTTGGGACAATACAGGAGTCCTTGGGTCCCATGGGAATAGTCATGGTCTCAAGTCTTGGGGGTCACTCTTCAAGGTACAGAACCAGAGTTGTATCACAGGAATAGGAGTACTGGACCTGGTAGTTACAAGGAACAGAGATTGTTAACATGTGATGGGTGGCCATGAGAAACAGGGGGAGCTCAATCCCTCAGTGAACACCTGGTGCTGGTTGAAGCAATACACTTTGCCAGAGGGTGAGGTCATTCCAAAATTCAAAGGATTATTATTATGCTAAGCTCAGGACACAGTTTTCTTGCTGGGCCTTAGCTCTGGAGAACAGGATATCTCCAAACATTCTGACAAAATCAAAGTCAGGAGTGGAGGAATAAAGCATCTTTGAGATAACAAAGTAGTAAAACCACCACCCTGGGGGATGTCCCATGATTACAGAGTACAATAGATTTTCCCCACGCAGAAACCCACGAAAAAGGTTTTTATACTTTTAGGAGGAGAGAGGGAAGAGGTAGTATGAGACAGCAAGGCCTGGTCATGAGATGCCAGCCACCCTTTTTGCACTTCATGCCATGAATCCCGACCAAAGGAGTAAGGACATCAGGGGCTGCTGTTTGGCTCAAGATGCCTTTGTTTCCAAGGAAAGATTCTAGACTGGGGACTTAAGGTGTGGCTCAGCTCAACCCAATCTACACTATCTACAGGTGGGCATGCAAGCACATTACTAGGACAATTAAGAGATGGTGGCAGTTAATATTACATTTGGTATTAACAATTTTCTGACATAGCAATGCATCTAAGGATAGATTTCAGGGGGCCCTTGAACTTAAAAAGGAAAAAAAACCGTTAAATCTTTATTTCCACTAACCTTTGGTTTTCCTTTGTAATCATGATCTTCTTAAAGAGCAGGTATGACTATCTCACACACACACACACACACACACACACACCATTTTAAAGACTTTCATAACCTGGCCCTCCCTTGACCTTCCAGTCTTCTTATACCTTACTTTCTCTTCCATGTAAACCTGCGACACTGGCCTCCTTGCTGTTCCTCCCACGCCACACACCATCTCTGGCTGATTCTGGACATTTTCACTGCCTTTCCCCCATGCCTGTAACTTTCTCCCTCATCATCTCCACCTCCCGGTTTCCTTCAAGTCTCGGTGCTAATGCCTTCCTTCTGTGATCACCTACAATTTATCCTGTCTATATCTTGATATACATAGTGAGCTTATACTGAATTCTTGGCATGCTGTATTCTCTCTTAGACTGTGAACTTCTTGAGAACAGGGGCTGGTTTTGTTTTGTTTTGCTTTTCTTTGTTATTTTCAGTGATTAGCACAGTGCCTGACACCTAGAAGCTGCCATTTAATAAATGCTTGCTGATTTGTCTAGACTATGTATTTTATTTTATGCATATAAAAGTCTGAGAAGGGGTCCAAAAGCTTCACCAGAGGAGTCCATGACATAAAAAAAAAAAAAGTTAAGAACTTCAGATTTAGGGTGATCAGTTTCAATTCAGTCAGTTTCACCTCCCACATTCCTTAAGGGAATTTTACTTAGTTGAGTGGGTAGGGATCAAATATATGAAAACAGTCATTGTGTTAAAGGCAAATTTCATTGTCTCACTGGCTTCTTCATATGCAATTGAACTAAAGGAGATTCTTTCTAGGACATATATACATATGTATATACGTACATATGTATGCATGCATGTATGTATACACACATATAAATACATACAGAGAGATGGATAGAGTATATATCTATTTTGCATTTGCATATTTCAATGTCTTTATCTTTTAGTCTCTCCAGAGTGGGAACTTTAGCTAAAGACACTTGGGGAGATCACCCTTACATTAAGAAGAATATACAAGATGATTTCAACATTTGCTTAAATTCATCTGCTTGTTAAAATAAGAATTCTCTGCTTGGTCTTAATAGTGTAATAGTAGACCTGGGCTTGGCCTAGGGGGAATATAGGGAATTCTCTCTGGAATCAGCTCTGGATCTGGTTCAGACCTGAGGGATGCTGGCCTCTGAAGACAGGAATCAAGTTATTTTTCTTGCAGTCTCTGGCTCTTTTTACCCTGGAGTCCACTTAGATTTGGCTCAGGTCTAGGGGCTCCCCAAAAGTGAGTAGAAAGGTATTTAAGTAGATCATGCCTACACAGCCTACATGGTGAAAACACAAAGGACTTACAAATACTCACTGATGAAGACTTAAAACAATAACCCACAACTCCCAAAGTGCTGTCCCAAGAAGCTCTTATGGAAAATAGAAAAACATGGCACATTTTACATGTGTTGAACTGTTGAACATTCATTTCATTTGGACCGTGGTCGCTTCCCATCAACTCCCCATGGTTTACATCTTCCGATAAGCCGACGGGTGACTCAGGCCTGATCCCCCTCTCAGGGGTGTTACGGAAGAAATTTCTCCCTTCTGAGTTCATGGGGTGGGTGACCACTGTCAAATATAAATTTACCATAATGCAAAATTATAGAAGTTAAAAACTTAGGTTTTATTATTATGCTCCAGGACAGGTTCAGGCCTCAGAGAAAACTGGAATCATCATTAGGATTTTATCAGGTATTTTTGGTTCTCTTCTAGAACAAAGGACAAAGAAGAACAACAAGGTTTCTCATAGGCAAAATTAAGGCAGAATGACAAAGAAATAATTCATTTACATATTGCAATCTTCTACATTCCTCTCAAGGGCATAAAAGTTAAAGAGAAAATAGATCCATAGATTGGTGTCGTAAAAGTTGAATAAACTTAATTGAACACAGTAATGGTCTTATACATCCCCTAAGGAAAAAAGAAAAAAACTTCATCAAATAAACTACAAGTAAACTAGGTCAGTTGGGGGAGGATATAGTGCTGGTCCTGCAGTCAAGAAGGCCTGAGTTCAAATCTAGCCTCAGACATTTACTGACTGTGTAACTCTGAGCAAGTCACTTAATCCTGTTTGCCTCAGTTTCCTCAACTGTAAAATGAGCTGGGCAAGGAAATGGCAAACCACTCCAGTGTCTCTGCCAAGAAAACCCCAAATGGGGTCAAAGAGAATCAGACACAAGTGAACAATAATAACAAAGCCAGGTTATAGATTTTTAATCTACATTTAGAAGATTCACAAATAGGAAGAGAAATTACACGTCCAAGCTGTCAAGGAGCCAGGGACAGCTGAGATTCTTCTGGCTTCTTATCCAAGGAGTGTTTAAAGCTCTAAGTAAATTTTTACATCCCATGGGACAGGTTTTGGTCAGGTGCTATTAATATAACAGGAGGAATGGCCCTAAGTCCCAATAATAAAAGGAAAACCAAAAATCCTCATAATCATCGTCAATCATCCTCTCCAAGAAGGATAGAGTTGCAAAAAATTCCTCAGGACTTCCTGACCTCTCAAACTTACAAGGTTGCTTTCCAGGCTGGAACAATCCATTTCTGGGCCCATGCTGTGTGGTTTGTCCTTTGTCCTTGAAGAGGACCATGACATCAGGAAGATGATGCCATGACTTACAAGTGAATTGGATTTAAGTGAGGGGGGCTGTGCAAAGTCACCAGCCTCATTTTCTCCCCTGGAGCCATCTGGGTCCAGTGGCCAGTTATAGATCAGGATGACTGGAGATGGCCTAGGCCCATGCTCAGAAAAAGAGGAAGGTGGGATCTTGAGATCCAGCTTCAGGCCAGCATGTGATGTTCAATGCCATTGCTGTTGCTAGGGTTGGGGGAGAAGCCCCAGAGGAAATTCTAAGCCACACATTCAAGAGAGAGTAAGAAGGGCTAGGGCCAGAAGGTGGAATCACTTTGTTTAAGCAGGACAGTTTTCTATTACGTAAGATAGTCTTCTTGGCCCACTGGCCAATCTGCTTGAATACAGGGGGAGGCACACAGGGCTGCCCATGTCCAAGGGGTTGAAACATTCTTCTATTCCCCACAGGTCCAAGGAACCTTCTCCAGGGGCATCATGTGGAATATTACACATGTAAACACACAGGAAGGATTTATGATTTAGTCAGACTCTCACACTCTCTCACCCCTCGTATCTAATCAATCACCAAATCTGGTCATTTGTATCTCCACAACATTTCTTTCCTATCCAACTCATTCTTTCTACTGGCATGGTCACCATGGAATTGAATCCCTCATCACTTGTTACTTGCAATGGCCCCCTCTAAGTGTTCTCCCTCCCTTAGGTCTCTCCCTAATTTAATCCAAGTAATTTTTCTTAAGGGCAGATCTGACCATGTCCCTTTCTCAATAAATTCCAGTGAGTCCCTATTGCCTCTAGTGTAAAATAAAATCTCTGGTTTTGAGAGCCCAATCGATCTTTCTAGCCTTATGGTACCTTCCTCCCTTTCCTACACTCTTCAGTCTAGTGTTGTGGGAGTTTTCCATATGGGGTACGAGCGTCCAAGGAGAATCTCACCCACTTTGAGGACTGCACTCGACATTTGGGGGTGTCAGGGAGTGAGTAGCCAGACAGAAAGCAATGTATGAAGTCACCCAGGAAGACCACGTGGGCTAATGCTTCAGCTTTTTAGAGGACAGATTGGGTTTTTACAGTTTTTGAGATTGCCTAAGAACATCAATCCATCAATCAACATACAGCCAATCTGCAGCATTCTGTTGCAGAACGTAATACGGGGAAATGTGTAAGCCCTGGGGTCAGGAAGTTGCTTAAGGTCAGGTTTGTTCCAAAAGATGTCCAAAGTAGCGGAGCTTTCCTGAAAGATAGAATGGTTCGGCTCCTCCTGAGGGTCTCTATTTACATAACCCTGGAAGTCAGTTTCCTCAGTCTCAGAGGTTACTTTTTCTGAAGAAGAGATGCTTTCCCCAAACTCACAAACTCCTCCATACCAGCCAAACTGTCTTTCTCTCTACTCCTTATAAACACACTCTATCTCCTATTTCCATGTCTTTGCCCAGGCTGTACCCCATACCTGCTACATAGGTAGGCTATACAGCCTTTCCTGAGCTCCCCAATTGCAAGTACCCTTCTTTTTCTTTCTTTTTTTCCCTCTTTTTTTTGGTGAAGCAATGGGGGTTAAGTGACTTGCCCATGGTCACACAGCTAAGTGTCAAGTGTCTGAGGCCGCATTTGAACTCAGGTCTTCCTAACTCCAAGGCCAGAGCTCTATTTACTGCACCACCTAGCCGCCCTACCCTCCCTTTTCCAGCTTGAATTTATTTTTATTATGCTGTGACAAAGAAGTCCAAGGATTCACTAATAGGTACTGCCGCCAGTTATATAATCAATGACACAGAGATATGATTAAAAACCACTTTATCATGCAGAGAGCATAGACTCACTATATACAAAAATCAGTGAGTCCTGAACAACAATTTCAGCAACCTTATATAGGTTATGGTTATGGTAGCAGGATAGGTACAATGAAATTTCAAAAGGGGAAGATGATGATTTACCGACCAAAGAACAGGTAGCAGAATGGGGAGATCTATCTCAAGTAAAATAAGAAACTAGCCAGGAAACACTCACCTATAGATGATATCTCAAGCTGTAAATCTGCAAGCAGACTGAACAAAACAGCTAATCAGCTCACCGAGGGGCTAGAACTGATGTCTCAGCTTGATTTTGCAGCCTCTATCTAGTTAACATGCCCTATTCATCTTAAGTAAATGGCAGTAACAAACCTGAGCCAGAAATTCTCTTATCACAATGCATATACTTTGTGTGTGTGTGTGTGTGTGTGTGTGTGTGTGTGTATTACACATCTACATCTTGTCTCCTCAGTTATAATATAAACTCCTTGAGAACTGGGATTGTGTTATTTTTTGTCTTTGTAACTCTAGTTCGTGGCACAGTGCCTAACGCATAGTAATTACAGATTTGTTGATTAATTGTTCCTTAGTTTTATGGAATCACATTTGTAACTTAAATGACTCACCCAAGGACACACAGCTAGTATCAGAGGCAGGATTTTAATCCAGGTCTTCTTGACCCAAAGGCTGGTTATCTATCTATCACCATGTAATGAACACCCTGTTACAATAGTTACCTCATTTTAATGGCCCTTAAAGTCCCCTAGATTTCCTTCTCTTCACTTTAGGATGTTTATTTTACTTGAGAAGTTTCAAGTTCATATGCCTAAAGGGCTAAAAAACCATGCATGCTCTTTGATCTGGCAATACCATTATTAGGTCTATATCCCAAAGAGATCCAAAAAAAAAAAGGAAAAGGACCTATTTGTACAAAAATATTTATGGCATCTCTTTTTGTGGTGGCTAAGAATTAGAAATCGAAGGGATGCCCATCAATTGGAGAATGGCTAAACAAGCTGTGGTATATGATTGTGATGGAATATTATTGTGCTGTAAGAAATGACAAGCGGGGTGATTTCAGAACAACCTGGAAAGACTTACATGAACTGATGCATAGTGAACAGAACCAGGAGAACATTGCACACAGTAACAGCAATATTGTTCAATGAAAAACTGTGAATGACTTAGCTCTTCTCAGCAATAAAATGATCCAAGACAATCCCAAAGGACTAATGATGAAGCATGCTATCCACCTCCAGAAGAACTGATATTGTTTGAATACATACTGAAGTGTGCTATTTTCACTTTCTTTCATTCTTTTGTTCTTATACAAAATGACTAACATGGAAAGGTTTTAAATGACTGCACATGTAATATATGTATAAGCTATATCTGACTGTTTACCCTTTCCTGGAAGGGGGAGAGGAGGTAGGGATAGAATTTGGAACGCAAAACTTTAAAAAAAGAAACAAATATAAAAATTGTTTTAACATGTAATTGGGGAAAAAACAAAATATTATATATCTGTAGTTAAAAAAAAAAAAGTTCTGAGTTTAGTCACAATTGCTCTGTGCCTCCAGTTAGGAAAAACTGGAAATATCTGAGTAGAAATGGGGTTCTCTGTCTAACCTTACATTTGTGTATCTGTCTCTAGTTAACTCTTGGTCATATCATGGCTAATTCATGAGGCAAAATTCACTTTACTGAAAACATCTGAATAATGAAACAGCAGATTATATTGTAGGTTCAATGCAACCTCTGAAGCTGAGATGCTACAACGTATGGACTGCTTCTCTGCCTCTTCTGCTAATTTTGGCCAAATAATTAACACCAAGAAAACAGAGGTTCTCCACTGGACAGCAATGCAACATCCATATGTGGAACCATGAGTTACAGCAAATGGAGAAATTTTGAAAACTGTGGATAAATTCACTTACCTTGGCTGTATACTTTTCCAGTACACATAGATGATAAGGTTGATGCACAGACTGCCAGAGCTAGGTCAGCGTTTGGGAGACCGTGAAGGAAAGTGGGAGAGAACAGGTATTAGTTTGACTATGAAAGTGAAGGTCTACAGAGCCATTGTGCTGACCTCATTGTTGTATGCTGTGAAACCTGGACAGTATCCATTTGAATTGTCTTAGGAAGAGTCTGAAGATCACCTGGCAAGAAAAGGTACCAGACATTAAAGTCCTTTCATGAGCTAAACTGCCAAGCATTCAAACTCTCCTGCAGAGCGCAAATCTCCAATGGGCTGGCCAAGATGTTCAAATGCCAAACATATATTTGTCTAAAAGGCTTTTTTACAGAGAACTGACACAAGGCAAGAGCTCACATGGAGGTCAGAAGAAGCGATACAAGGACACTCTCAAGGTCTCTCTGTAGAACTCTGGAATAAATTGCATGACATAGGAGACGCTGGCACAGGACAGCTCAGCATGGCGTGCCTGCATCATAAAAGGTGCTGTGCTTCAAATGTGAGATGACAAATTTAGAGACATCTCTACTCCAGATGTTCTTGTGGACTATTTATGCCTGACCTGTGGTCGAGCCTTGTGAGCTCATACTGGATTGATTAGCCACAGTCGGACAGACGGTATCTTGACTCCAACATGGTGATGTCATTTTGGTCCTCTTCAAGAAAGAAGGCCAACCACCAATCAGTATCTATAATAGTATCGTGGGAGCTTTTGATTTGTTTTCTCCATTATTATTTTGGGTCCAGCATGGCTACTTTAATTATGAGGAAAGTCCCACAGCCAGTTGAGCTTTTCCTAAGACTTTCAATGATTTCCATGGGAATAAGAAACCTGGGGAGGGGTGAGTGTAAAAAGAATTTATGAAAGCCACTTGGTGGTAGTAAATCACAGACTCTTCTCTTGTTGGTACTTTTTGCTAAACCAGATCTGTTGTTATATTCCTTCTTCAGTTATCTTTGAAATAGAAATCTTTTAAGCATAATTTGAAATGATCATCTTTACTTTCACTTGTCTCAATTGGAAATTCCTTTCTCCTCCTGGTAATTGATAAGTAATCAGTCAATAAACATTTGTCAATCAAGAAACATTTACTATGTGGTAGGCAGGCAGTGTGCTAGGAGCTGGGAATACAAAAAGAGGCAAAAGATAGTCCACAAGTAACTAACAATCTAATGGGGGAGACAACATCCACATAGGTACAAAGCAAGCTACATACAGAATAAACAGGAAATAAGAGGGAAGGCACTGGAATTCAGAGGGGTTAGGGAAGGCTTCTGGTAGAAGATGAGATTTTAATTGAAACTTAAAGGAAATCAGGAAGGTCAGGATGCTGAGTAGAGGAGGGCAAGTGTTCCAGGCAAGGGACACAGCCAGAGAAAATGCCCAGAGCTGAGATGGTGGGGCTTGTTTGTAGAACAGCCAGGAGGCCAGTGGCACTGGGTGGAAGATTACGTGTTGGGGAGTCAGGTACAAGAAGACTGGAAAGGTAGGAGGGGACCAGGTTATGAAGGGCTTTGAATGCCAAACAGAGCATGTTTTTTTACCCATTTGATTATGGGTAAATTATATGTATGCTTTATTTTATGTATGTGGTTTCATTTTATTAATACTTTAATTTGTGAATGCATTTTCCACTTACGTTAGCCATTTGGAATTACTAAATCCTTTCAAAGTGCAGCCCAAGCATTTCCTTCCACAAAAAGTCTTTCCTGATCCCAAATCCACCCTTCCTCCAAGTTGGTAGCATTTTTTCCCACTTGAAATTACTTTCTATAAATCTGAATATTATTTTGAATTTATCAGGTTACATTTTGTATCATCCCTGTGGAATGAAAACTCTTTAAGGACAAAAATTGCTTTTTTTTTTTTTTCCTTTTAACTTTAGAACCTGAAAGAGTGCCTTTCACATTGCAAATACTTAGTAAAAAAACTTGTTGAATGGATGACATTGTCTAAATGTAGAAAAGATCAGAAATAGTAAATAGCAGTGTGCAAGTACAAATGCTGCAGGCAAAGGATGAATTTTACTGATTTGTTAACTATTGCTAACTGCTCAGAAGTCTGTGATTAAGGAATCATTATAAACATGACACAAAACCTCTGTTGAATCTTCTCAATATAAAAACCCAGAACATGAGGTCAGATTATAGCATGAAAACTTCTAAATATTAACATATTCCATATATGCCTCCAAAATCACAAGCTGTTACTCACTACTCACAATGACAAAGTATCACTGAGCTACCTGCTTATGCTTTTCTATAGATATAGTGATAACATTTACTACAGGATATGTGAAAACTAACATAAAAAGCTATACAAGGAATCCTAAATAGAGAATCTAAGTATATTTTAATGTGAATTTATGTTGCTAGAGGTAATTTATTCTCCTAATCTCAATTTCCAGTTTCAAGGTAGTTTAAAATGACTGATTTAGCATTTTAAGAGATATTTTTCCCCATAAATATTCTCATTTTTTTTTTTCTTTTTCAGGCAATCAGGGTTAAGCAACTTGCCCAGGGTCACATAGCTAGTGAGTACCATGTGTCTGGGGCCACATTTGAACTCAGGTCCTCCTGACTCCAGGGCTGGTGCTCTATCCACTGTGCCTCCTAGCTGGCCCTATTTTTTTTCTTTAACATCTTTAATAAGGATATAAACAACATCCAAGGACAATATGCTTCAACTATAGGTTCCACCTAGGAACAACAATAAGATAATTTTATCCTCAGCTCCATTATGATTTACTTTATATATTGGCTAGGGAAAAACAAGGACAAGGTCTAATCTAAAACTTTGCCTATATTTACAAAAGTTAGTCAAATAGTACTTTTTCTTTTCTACTATTTTCAATGTCATATTACATCATTTGTATTTGTTTTCATTCTGTTCCCAACTATTCCCAGAGGATTTTGTACACTCTTTGAAGACAGGGAACCTATCTATATATCCTGCATAAAACAGATGTTTAATACGTTTGTTGAGATAAATTGTTGAAATGATAACTTAGAATATGTTACTATCTTTTGGGCCTTCCATATGCGATGGGTTAATATTCAGAGTACTCAAAAACATGATCTGACTTCACTTTATCTTATTTTTTATACTGAAAGGATGTTACGATTTCATGATGAACTACTATGATTTCATATAGTAAATCTGCAACGTTTTCAACAGTCATTAAGCTTGTAAAAATACTGATGTATCTGCTATAGATATAGATGCTTCTACTTTTAATATCTACTGACATTTACTAATTCTAACTCTAATTTATTGTTCCAGAACGTGGAATTGGAAGGCAGAACAGATGAATGTGAATCCCACTCTGCTACTTGTTAGCTACGGCATCTCAAACAGAGCATTTTATTTTTGCTTCTGGAAGCAATAGAGAGCCAACAGAGTTTATTAAGTGTGGGGGGGGGGGGAGTGGCGCGGAGCCAAGATGGCAGAGTAAAAGCAGTGACTAGCTTGAACTCTCCCCCAAACCCCTCCAAATACCTGTAAAAAAATGGCTCTAAACAAATTCTAGAGCAGCAGAACCCACAAAAAGACAGAGTGAAACAAATTTCTAGCACCAGACAACCTAGATGGTTGATTAGAAAGGTCTATCATGCCGGGTTGGGAGAGAAACACAGTTCAGTGTGGGCACATAGGCAAAACAGGCCTCAGTGAACCTAAAGTAGGCCTCAGAGGATTGAATCATGGGCAGCTGTGCTGGTTTCCAGACTTCTCAGCCCACAAACATCAAAGACAACTTAGAAGATCAGTAAGAAAAGTCTGTGACCAAGATGAGAGAGAAGCTTGGTCCCAGCCCCAGTCCCTGTGTGGCCCTGCGCAGTGGCTGCTTATGGAGCTTCTAGCCCACAGACTAAGGAGGAATCCAGTGGCTGATCAGAGGGGATTGCAGGGATCGCTTTGCTGGTGCTGAGGCAGGATTCTCTTGCTTTGCCTGTGCTTGGATCTGGGTTGTAGTTCTGGGTGGCAATCCTGGAAGAAGGAGAAGCGCTGGCATGGTGGAGCTTGTAGTGGCAGTGTAGAGGAAATCCTCCTTACAGTTCCAAGGCAGAAAAGAGTGCTTGTGGTCGGTCACTCATAGACCAGAGCACAGGCTAGGAAACGAGCAAACACCTCTCCCTTGATTGTACTACCATGGAAGAACTGAAAACTTACAGGTCCCTAGAAGTTATCTCTGAAAACAGCTGCACAAAAGCCCCGAAGCTTGGGACAGTACATTCTCCACACCAGAAGCAGACCCCTACCTTAATAAAGAGTTTAAAACTCAAGTAATTGGCTGGGATTATGAACAAACTGCACAAAAAGTCAGGCCATAGAATCTTTCTTTGGTGACAAAGATCAAAATATATAACCAGAAGAAGACAACAAAGTCAAAGCTCCTACAACCAAAGCCTCCAATAAAAATATGAATCAGTCCCAGGTCATGGAAGGGCTCAAAAAGGTTTCTGAGAAGCAAGTAAGAAAAGTAGAGGAAAAACTGGGAAGAGAAATGAAAACGATGCAAGAAAATCATGAAAAACTAGTCAACAGTTTGCTAAAAGAGACCCAAAAAATACTGAAGAAAATAACACCTTAAAAAAATGCCTAACCCAAATGGCAAGAGAGGTCCAAAAAGCCAACAAGAAGAACACCTTAAAAAGCAGAACTGGCCAAACGGAAAAGGAAGTCCAAAAGCTCAATGAAGAAAATACTTCCTTAAAAATTAGAATGGAGCAACTGGAAGTTACTGACTATGAGAAATCAAGACATTGTAAAACAAAACCAAAAGAATGAAAAAATAGAAGACAATGTGAAATAGCTCACTGGAAAAACAACTGACCTGGAAAATAGATCCAAGAGAGATAATTTAAAAATTATTGGACTATCTGAAAGCAATGATCAAAAAAAAAGAGCCTTGATATCATCTTTCAAGAAATTATCAAGGAAAACTGCCCTGATATTCTAGAACCAGAGGGTAAAATAGAAATTGAAAGAATCCACTGATCACTGCCTGAAAGAGATCCCCAAAGGAAAACTCCTAGGAATATTGTAGCCAAATTCCAGAGTTCCCAGGTCAAGGAAAAAATACTGCAAGCAGCCAGAAAGAAACAATTCAAGTATTGTGGAAACACAATCAGGATAACACAGGATTTAGCAGCTTCTACAGTAAGGGACCACAGGGTTGGAATATGATATTCTAGAGGGCAAAGAAGACAGAATTACAGCCAAGAATCACCTACCCAGCAAAACTGTGTAGGGGAAAAAATTGATATTCAGTGAAACAGAGGATTTTCAAGTATTATTGATGAAAAGACCAGAGCTGAATAGAAAATTTGACTTTCAGATACAAGACTCAAGAGCAGCATGAAGAGGTAAACAGGAAAGGGAAATCATAAGGGACTTATTAAGGTTGAACTGTTTACATTCCTACATGGAAAGATGATATTTGTAACTCATGAGACCTATATCAGTATTAGGGTAGGTGGAGGGAAAAAATTTATATGTATAGATAGATTGATAGACAGAGGGCACAGGGTAAGTTGAAGATGAATGGGTGATATCTGGAGAATAAAATTACGGGGTGAGAGAAGATTATCCTGGGAGAAGGAGAAAGGGAGAGGTAGAATGGGGTAAATTATCTCACATGAAACAGAGAAGAAAAGGCTTCTACAGTGGAGGGGAAATGGGGGAAGGTGAGAGGGAATGAGTGAATCTTATTCTCATTGGATTTGGCTTAAGGAGGGAATAACATACACAATGGGGTATGGAAATCTATCTTACCCTACAGGAAAATAGTGGGGAAGGGGATAAGGGGGGGCGATAGAGGGAAGGGCAGATTGGGGGAGGGGGTAATCAGAAGCAAACACTTCTGAGGAGGGACAGGGTCAAAAGAGAGAATAGAATAAATGGCGGGAGTAAGATGAAGGGAAATATAGTTACTTTTCCACAGCGTCACTACTATGGAGGTGTGTTCCATGACTACACAAGTATAACTTGCATCGAGTTGCATGCCTTCTCAATGAGGGTGGGTGGGGAGGGAGGAAGGGAGAAAATTTGGAACCCAAAGTTTTAAAAACAAATGTTAAAAAATTGTTTTCACATGCAACTGGGAAATAAGATATACAGGCAATGGGGTATAAAAATCTATCCGGCTCTACAGGTAAATAGAAGAGGAAGGGCATAAGAGAAGGGAGGGGAATAGAAGGGAGGGCAGATTAGGGGGAAAGGTATTCAGAATACATGCTGTCTTGGGGTTGGGGGACGGATGATGGAGAGAAAATTTGGAACTCAAAATCTTATGGCTGTGAACACTGAAAACTAAAATAAAATAATGAATCTTTTAAAAAAAAGTGTGAAATGCAAAAAAAAAGTGTGTGTGTAACATGATTGGACTTGCACTTTAGTAAAAACAGAGTGGGGAGAGATTTGAGGCAGGCAGAGCCAACAGCAGTTACTGCAATAGTCCAAGTATGAGGTGATGAGGGCCTGCATCAGAGTTATGGCAGTGTTATTGGCTAAAACCTAGAATCATGCATTTTTCCTTTTTTTTTCTTTTCTTTTTCTGATGTAATTGGAGATTATATAAGCTTTAAGAAATCTGTTCACGGCCCAGAGTTATTTGAGAATTCTGGGCCTATGCAGAAACACATATAACCTACCTGGGTTTTGCCTTCTAAATCTCTTTGTGTTGCTAGCTTTGATCACCAGTAGTATTTATCAATGAATAATGATCGTGTAGTGGAAAGCATATAGCGGAAAGGCAGGCATCAGAAGGGGAAGATGGGAAAAGAGCCGATTACACTTACATACTTAGAAACATAGAAGGATATATGTCTTGTGAAGCAATGGGGCACACAAGTCTGTCACCCACTGATGGTATGTGTCACATTCTTGAGTGAATAAGGTGCTGTTTACTTGTCTGTATGTATTCTGTGCTGGCTTTTTTACTGGCAATAACTCATAAGGATCCTAAAATTTCTTGAAACAGAGAGCAGGGGATGGCTTTTACTTTCTTTGTATTTCTTTTACCTTGCTTTGTATCTTCATTAGTTAAGATAGTACACAGTATACAGTAGCCCTTTAACAAATGTTTGGGGCAGTTAGGTGGCACCATAGTAAATAGAGCCCTGGGGCCTAGAGTCAGGAAGACTCATATTCTGAGTTCAAATTTGGCCTCAGGCTACCTACTAGCTATGTGACCCTGGGCAAGTCAAGTCACTTACTACTGTTTGTCTCAGTTTCATGATTGAAATGACTAAACAACAAAAATAAAAGTTTATTGATTGACTTCCCAGATGGCATTTCTCTTTTATACAAAGTGTCTATTCTCTTGTCCAATGGCTTTGATTGAGTCATGGAGGTGTACAGGTCCGGTTCAGTACCCTGTTTTGATTGATTCAATTAGGAAAAAAAAAATTGTCCCTAGTTAAGGCACCAGAACCAAATGGGTGGTTTTAATCCCACCCTCACAATAGCACTGGCTTCTATGTTTAACTTGTAAAAAATTGATTCAGGCCTTTAATTTTATCAGTGTGGAGAATTCCCAGTGTGTAATTTTCTCTAGGGCAGTTGGGTAGCAAAGTGGATAAAGCACCCGCCTAGGAGTTAGAAGACCTGAATTCAAATCTGGCCTCAGATACTTCCTAGCTATGTGACTGTGGGCAAGTTACTTAACCCAATATCCTTGTTTCCTTATCTATAAAATGAGCTGGAGAAGGAAAGGGCAAACCACTCCAGTATATTTGCCAAGAAAACTCCAAATGGGGTAATGAAGAGTCAGACATATCTGAAACGACTCAAAAATAACAACAATCTTCTCTACCTTAAACAGAATTTCACTCATCTTCCTACAGTTACCTAGAATACTGAGAGGGTGTGACTTGCTCAGGAAGGGTCACATAGCTAGTATGTGCCACAGGAAGAATTTTGTGGTTCTCCAGGACCTATCTATGTGCTCTACCTCTCTTAAGTATTATGACATTGAATTTTTAAAATGAAAGATGTTCCAAAATGGATCAGATTTGTTCATTAGTGAGGTAGATGGGTGGCACTGGGCATAGGCCTCTGGATGCAGATAAATGATAGAGGCCAGATGCCAGATAAGCAGCCCTATCAACCTCTCCAACTTTGGTGACACTACCAGAAAAGTCTCTCTCCAGCTCTTCCAAACCCACACTAGAAGGGTGAGAAGGGGCAACCTACCATGTGCATTTCTATTGGCCCAATTCAATACCTACTCCAATCCACCTTTCTGCAACCTCTGGTCTCCAAGATTCTTTAGGCCTTGATCAGAGGGGACCTGGGACTGTGTCTGCCTTATCTCCTAAGTGGATTAGGCCCAGAGGCAGACACTTCTTTGTGTTCCTCCTACAAAAGCAGCCACATCTATCTAGCAACTGATAGAGTGCTGGGCTTGGAGTCAGAAGACCCAAGTTCAAATCCAGACTCAGATGCTGAGGCAAGTCATTTTAACCTGTCTGGCCCAGTTTTCCCATCTATAATGGAGATATTACTATACCTCCCAGGGTTGCTGTGAGAATCAAATGATATAACATTTGTAAAACAGGGCCTACCATATTACTTATACTTCAGGGCAAAGATACTGATTGGCTGAGGCACAAAGTCCCTTTACTGGATAAACCTAGCACAGTCAAGCCCACTAATGCGTTTCTGAGGATCCAACCTGGAATATTTTCTCAAAGAAGCATTGGACTGGGCTGGGTTTATCTTGATCCAGAGAAAACAGGTTTTCAAAGCCTGGGCTTGAGGTGGGAGAGCCCTGGGGTAAAATGGATTGAGGGATGATGATTACCAACCCAGAAGCCTCCCAAGGGTGGGTCAGGAGTCCTGGAGGGTTTCTCACACCTGGTTTATTTATTCAGGCTTGTCTTCCCCAGCTAGGACAGACAGATCAGAGGCCTTTTCATTTTAGGGTTATGTTTACCTTCAATGGGGGGGGGGGGGGCTTCCTGCCAGCTGATACAGTTCCCCGAGGCTTGGGAACAGATCTCCCTACTCAGACCCAGGCCTTGTGGCCTCTCCAAGGAAACCACCAGCGGTCTTTAAGGGATGATTATTGACTGGATGCATTATGGGGGCTTATAGTCTCACTTGCGGGGTCTCTGAGGGCAGGAATTAGTACTTCGGGGCTAGACTGGAGTTTCTGAGGACAGGAAACCAGTCTCCAGCCCCCACCCCCGTCCTCAGCCCAGGGTTCCCCAGAAGGCAGGGGCTAGGTCCGCCCCCCAAACTGAGATAAAGGCAGAACTGCCTTCCCAATCATACCCAAGCCAAATGCCTGGACCTTCCCCCTTCCACATGAGCAGGGGGGAGACCCGCTAAGAAACGTACCATGTCAGGTCCCTGAGGGTTGGGACCCGCACCCCCCTCCCCACCTGGAGTTCCCCCAGTGTGGCTGTGTCAAGAGGCATTTATTTCTTTTTCTTTTTTTGTAAGGCAATCGGGGTTAAGTGACTTGCCCAAGGTCACACAGCTAGTATCAAGTGTCTGAGGCCACATTTGAACTCGGGTCCTCCTGACTCCAAGGCCGAGCTCTAACCACTGCTGCCCGACAAAAGGCACTTAATAAGCGCCCACTGCGTGCTAGTTGCTCTGGGGAGACAGAGAAGGGCAAAAACGCCGTACCCCGGGGGTTGCCAGTCCAGGGGTGGGAGTGGGAGCCCGGAGCCCCGCGCCCCTCCTCCCAGCGCCCCCCAAGCTTCCTCCACCGCCCACCCGCGGGCCGTTATGATGTCACCTTCACGCAGGACAAGACGCGCGAGCCTGGCCGAAGCGCCCCAGTCCCGCCGGAGTCCCAGGCAGAGCCGGGCGCCGCGGCCGGACCTTAGGCCCAAACCTTTCCCAAAAGGAGCGGACCGCTCCGAGGCGGTTCCGAACCCCCGACCAGACAGCCGCCGAGGGCGGGGGAGGCGGGGGCCGGAAGAAGAAGTGGTAGAGGAGGAGGAGGCGGAGGAGGAAGAGGCGGCGGAGGAGGCGGAGGCGGAGGAGGAAGGAGGGGTCCACCGGAAGCCGGAGGCGAAGTGTCGGGGCGGGGCGGAGGGGGTTGGGCTGTGGGCGGAGGCGCTGAGGAGCGGCGCCCTTCTCCTCAGGGGCAGAGGGAGCGGCGGAGGGCGGAACTCGCGCTTAGCCTCCGTTGCGCTTGCGCAGGGCCCCGGCTCCCTCCAACCCCTAGCCTTCAGGGTCGAGCCACGCAGGCAGCGTCACGCATCTGCTTGTGACGTCATCACCGTCGCCGTCCCTCCCCCCCGACGTCCCCTACGTCGCCGCGTCGCTTGGGTCGGGCTGGCCGCGGGCGCTGCCGCCATTTTGCTCGCGCTGAGGCGAGGTGGGTACTGTCGCGACGTCCGCCGGTGCCCGGAGCGGGAGAGACGCGCGAGGCCCTTGCCGCGGGCGGCATCCCCTTGTTGCCGCCGCCGCCGCCAACATCATGCCGTCGTCGCCGCTGCGAGTGGCCGTGGTGTGCTCGAGTAACCAGAACCGGAGCATGGAAGCGCACAACATCCTCAGGTAGCCCTGCAGGGCATCCGCCCCGGCCCGTCCCCGGAACCCACCACCGCCCCCCACCCCACTACACCCCCGCGTAAACAGGCCTCCGGGTCCGCGGGCCCCCGCCCGGGCCGCCGAAATGGCCCCCTCCCTCTCAGCCCCCAACAAGCGCGGGGGGGAGGGGGGGTCCGGGCGGGGCGGGGGTGGGCGGAGGACGCACCGACTGTTGGCCCTTCCGGCTTCCTCCAGCCTCGCGGCCCCGGGGGCGCACTCAGAGTCGAAGCGGGGGTGGCGGGGCCCCCAAACCCCAACTACTCCACTTGTTTTCGAAACCCTGGACCTTCTTACTTCGGAAGTGGACGGCCGAGGGTGGGTCGTCGTGGGCCGCCTTCTACTCCTGAGACCCTCCCCGCCCCCCTGACCGGGTGTAGATGGGTGGGTGGGAGATCGGCCCCCGAGCCTCGGCCTCGGGCTTTCCTGGACCGGCGAGTCCGTGCCTCCTATTTTCTGCCTGTGCGTCAGTCGGCTCCCAAACCTTGATAAAGCGCTCACTGTGTGCAAGGAGCCGGCCCCGGCCCTGGGGATGCCGAGAAAGGCGCCAACAGCGCCCCCGGGGGCCCGGGGCGAGACCATCGGCCCGCTACTACTACGCACAAACCAGATAACACGGGATAAATGGGATTTTGGGGGAGAGTCTTTCTGTGGAAGGTGGGGATTAGCTCACACAGTGGGGAAGAACATACACAACCTGCCAGTCAGTCAACAAAGCATTAATTTAGTGTACTGCAGCAAGCCACTGGAGCACGAAAAAGTGCAACCCCTCCCCCCAAAAAAAACAAAACAAAACGAAAACCAGTCGGCCCCAGCCCTGGTGGAGCTCGCTGACTAAAGGGGAGAAGATCACGTGCGAACAATTATCCGCAAACAAGCTAAAGCCAAAATAAAGTGGAGGTAATTAACAGAAAGAAAACACTAGAATTAAAGGGAATTCAGAAGGTGAGGTTTTAGCTGGGACTTGAAGAAGGGTTGTTTTTGGGTTTTTTTTTTTGTTTTGGGGTTTTTTTGTTTTAAATAGAGATGGGAGATGGCCAGATTTCTTGTTAGGAAGTCTGAAAATGGTTACTTGGAGTCTGAGGATCTCAGTTCATTAGAATGTAAGCTCCGTGAGGGCAGGGAGTGTCGTTTTGCTGGTATTTGTATCCCCAATGCTTAATATTGCAGTTAGTAAGTGTTCATTAACTTTTAGGCCAGGTTCTGCCTCTTTGGATTTGAACACTGTGTCCCTCACACTGTAAGTGCTTAAATGCTCACCTTTTTATTTATTTTTTTTTCTTGGGCCCCTTCTTAGATTGATGTTTTTAAGTACATTTAAAAAGTCATAGGATTACCCAAAAAAAAAATTGTGTTGATGTTTTAAAAATGAGCCTGAAGTTAAAAAACCCCTCGCCCAATAAATAAATGCTTGTTGACTGACTATCGGTGAGCTGTGGGCAAATCATTTCATCTTTGGAGGTTAGTGAGGTAGCAGGCAATAAACAAGGGAGACTAGGAAAGGCTCCTCATAGAAGGTGGGATTTTATTTTATTTTGTTTTTAGGCAGTTGGAGTTCAGTGACTTAACCAGAGTCACACAGCTAGTAAGTGTCAAGTGTTTGGTCTGAGGCTGAATTTGAACTCAGGTCCTCCTGACTTCAGGGCTGGTGCTCTATCCACTGCACCACTTAGCTGCCCCTAAAAACAATTTTTCACATTTAACATTGCCCCCAGGAAGGTGGGATTTTAGCTGGGAACTTGAAGCCTTGGGAAGGCAAGAGATGATGACAAAGAAGGAGAGAATTCAAAGCTTGGGAAAGTCAGGAGAATTGGCATCATTGGATACAAGTTAGGGGGAGGTGGGGAAGGAAGGGAAGTAAAGTAAGGATACTGGAAAGGTAGATTAGAGGTCAGGGTAGGAAGATAGTTTTCTAAGATTTGCAGTTGCACGAAGAAAGGTTTCGTATCTGCAATAGTAAAGACCAGGTTCCTTATTGACAGCTCACTTCCTGTACAGGTGGAATCATGGGTCTTTACTAGAACAAACAACAACCAAAAAAACAAACAAACACTAATAACCAACCCAAAACAAATCAACATAAAAGGGAAGCACGGTGGATTCAGAACTGACTTTGGGAGTTTGTAAGTCCTGGGTTCAAGACTTGACTCTGGCAATCACTGTGTGACTAGACTTAACTCAGCAGTGCCATAGACCAATCTGTAAGGTTTATTGTAGAGGAGGGGTGGGTACCATCTGCATGGGGGCAATTTCCAAATAGGGAGTACCCAGCCCTCAAATACTGAGCTGAGGATGTAAAGACAACTAGAAAATAGTCCTGGCTTCAGTAAAGGTGTTTGGATCCTGTGGTGGGGAGGATACGCTTATGTAAACCTATGAGAGCTAGAGAGTGCTGACTGCTAAGGGAATGGGTCCGAAAAGGCTGCACACAAAGAATCCTTGGCAGAAACTGGGATTCTGAGGGCTGGAGATGAGAAGGGAATCCTATTGTTCAGTCTTGGGAGAGTGGGGAGGACACTCAGGTGGAAAGTTGAATGCCATTTTAGGAGAAGAGCTAGTGAGTCAATTTGGCTGGAGTCTAGTAAAGGAAGGAAAGTCATGTGAAAAAAGCTTGGGAAAAGGCAGGCAGGAGCCAGATGGTGTAAAGGCTGCCATGTAAAAACAAAGGCCCACAGTAACAGGAATCTGGATTTAAATAGCTTTCTTAAAATGTTCTTTTGTTAAATTTTATGTGCAACGTTTTCACATTTTCAGGTTCCATATTCAAAGTAAACTTTTGTAATTGCATTTTTTTCCAGCTGTTGTGCATATCTATTGTGTTCATACTTGGGATACTAATTAACATTCCAGTTTCAGCCTATCTTATGACCCAGGTGCTGCATGTTTAATAAAAGTTGAATACAGATTTGGTACAGTTTCTTTTTGCAAAATTTTTTAAGCAGTGTCTGGACCTATGGTTTCATGAGTATGGGAAAGGAAACTCCCTCCCTTAGGTTGCTCTCCAGGTGGGCTACTAGTAACTTGTTGCTAACAGTTGCTTGGGGTACTAGAGATTAAATGACTTAATTTGCCTATTATTCCAGCTACTTCTGAGGCAGGTTCTGAGTCCAGGTCTTCCTATCAGGAACTATCACCAAAGGCCCTTCTCTGTACTTTGTCTACTATATCTTACTACCCTTTAAAAAAAATCTTACTGCTTCAAAACCTGTTTACAAAATAGATTGGATACTCTCCTCATTGCTGATAAGATTTTAGCATTGATCACATTTTTCCACACAGTATTAGACCTGGAGGGAACCTGAGGGATCTCCTAGTTGAAGCAGCATAGGATTAAAAACATACTTTTTGTTTACCTAAAAAGAGGCATTAGGGAATGGATGCTGGGCTTGGGAATCCTAAGAAATTGGATATGAATCTTCCTATTAGACAGTTTCTAGTTGTGTCCCTAGGCAAATCTGTGTGGTCCTTAGGACTTCATTAAATCTTGGGTGGTTGCAGTCAACATTGATGGAAGTAATCTACAGATTTTTGGCCCATTTGTATTAAGTGTATGTTCTGTCTAGGGGGGAAATGCCCTTCTTTTATTCCTGTATTAATTGAGCATTAGATGCTTTCTATGTGCTGTCTTACTGGGAATTTCCAAAATTATTGCATCTATAGAGTATGTTGTAATTTCTAAAATAATCATTTTTATAGTCTCCAGAGAAGGAATTTGACAAAGAGATTGAAGTATCTCAGCCGCACTGCATAAAATCTATTTTTAATTTTTAATATTGGGGGGGGGATCCCAGCAGGATATTTTGAAATTAACAAGTAGATGTAAAAAATCACAAGAGTTGTCACACTTAGCTGTGATCCCAAAGTTTGTATAGTTACCACATTTAAATATCAGTCAAAGCTTATTATAAGCTTCATTTAGGGGAAGACATCATATATGTTTGGGTTTAAGACAATGAGATTTAATCCTATTAATGATTATCACAAGTGATCCAGGGGTGAGAAACCTGTGGCCACATATGACCCTGTAGGTCCTCAAATGCGGCCCTTTTTTTAACCCATAAAAGGATTTGTTCTGAAAAACTTGGACTCGGTCAAAAGTCTACACCCTTGGATTAAATCATGTCTACATAGCTACCTGTGTGTTTGGAAGAACTTACTTCAAAGCAATTTGCGCTTCATTTTTCACAATACATGATACAATTTGAAACTTATCATTTTCCAGTTATAGGCAGTCTAAAATGAACCTTGTAATATAGAAGACAAAATTACTAAATATTTCATATTTACTAATAACTTTAACCTCTCATTCAAAAGCATTTGCTCCCCCAGTTGGGTAAGGATGTGTGGGAGCAGCATTGAGTTTGTGTGGATGGATGGATGGATGTATATGGTGGGTGGGTGTGTATGCACATTTTTATATATGTATGTATAGAGCTTTTTTAATCCTACCTTTTATTTATTTTTATTTATTTTTTAAAGTAGCCCCATGGGTTCTTTGGGGATTTTATAGAGCACTATAACAAAGTGGAGTTGTGTAATGCATGGTAATATTTTGTATGATTAGCCTGTCCTTTGGGCCTACATTATGATATTTAAAATGAGTATAATTTGATGCCTTTTGTTTTTACATGAGTCATTTCTGGGGAGAGACACGTATTCCTTTTAACAGATAAAAACAGTTAAAAGGAATTTAGAATGTAACTTCACTTTATCCTCCCAAAAATTTAGGAGGAAAATGCTTAAAATAAAAATTCAGACTGGTAGCCAATATCATGTCCATAAATTTGAAGTTGATTTTATCTAACTTAGTTGGTGTAATTTTAGACACAAGAATGTAATTACTTAAATGTTTGAGTCCTGTATTTGGAGAGTGCTTTAAATATTTTAGAATAGTAATTAAGAATAGTATGTACAGGGCATATTGCAAATTGTCGATTGTGTCCTTTAGAGGACAAAGTCAGAACTTTGGG